ACACACACACACACACACACACACACACACACACAGTCTGTATGTGGACCTCAGACATGTCTTGAGTTATTACTCCACTCAGAGTAGCTCAGTATTAGAAGATAAAGTGCTCAATGCAGTGGTTTTGGTAGATGTTAAAAAAGTGGCACCCTCTCTCTGGGCCAGAGCCCTCTTATGCACACCAGTGAGCCAGAACATTAGGCTTGTTCAAATTCATCTTGAGACCAGGCAATTACACTTTCAGGCCTTACATCTGCAGTTCCTTTAAGTATCTTCACTTCCAGTCTGTAGAGAGCAGCTGTGGCTCTCATGAGATCAAGGTGCATTGACAATAATCTTGGCTACATAACACATGCTGCCAGAGCAGTTCAAAGTCAGGTCAGACAGAAATCTAACAGGCGTCAATATGCAGCAACTACCATTGATCAATTCTGTGCAGTCCTCGCTTATCTCGAATGATTGTATGATACAAAATCATAGATGACACAAATAATGTGGATATTCCTTTAACTGCTACACATGTCAGGTCTGTATTCAACAGTAAGCAAACTCTGTTCTCGTGGTCAACATGAACCTTCTCAGTTGTAATGTAAACACTGAATCTACTTTTCTGTGGGACAAATTGTTATGGCCAGATGACGCAAGGCTCATAGGGTGCTCCTAGTCAGCAGCAGTGAGTGCCTGCTGACAGTGTTCTAAGGAGGGATCCACCACGAACCAGCAGCAGGGTGTTAAACGAGGGTGATCTGTGGGGGCTCCACCCCACAACTTTCATCACTTAAAGGACATTCTGCTAATGTCTTGAGCCAGATACCAGAGGCGACCTTCAGAGGTCTTGCAGAGTACATGCCTTGTTGGGTTGGAGGAGTTGTGGCAGCACGCAAAGGACCAACAGCCAATTAGATGAGGTGGTCCTAATGTTCTGGCTCATCAGTGTAAAATCTATGCGAGATATAAAATATGGAAACAACGTATGGCCAAGATCATCCACCCTGTGTGATTAACTGTCTGAAATATGTGAGGTTTAAGAGCTAATAAGTGATACAAGTGTCACTGCATCAGGACAGACAGTATAACCTGTATGGAACATAGTGATGATGTATCTTTGATCAGGCTTTACAATGAATAAAGGTAAATTACAGATATACATATATATATATATATATGCATACAACTGGATACAATACTGATGAAGTGCCTGCCTGCATATACCAACTGTATTTTTCCATACTGCATCAAACACAAAGAAAGTACCAAATGTATTAAAGAGGAGATGTGCTGAAAAGAAAAATCATAATGTAATAATCTGGCTGCAATTAATAAACTAGTCTGTAAACAATGTCTTCTGGATGATGACCATTCTTTATATGGCTATGATCACGTGTGCGTGCATGTGTGTGCATTTGTGCTACCTGTCTTTTGAAATGGGAGCAACCAGTGGAGCATACCAGTTGATTCCCACCTCACAATGAGCATCCAGGTAGATCAGCACCTACAAAAAGGAACACACACTAACACTCGGATGTCTGTGATGATGAAAACCTTTAAGCTGAGGGACCAAACTTATTAACTGTATGTGCACTTTTGTAATAAAGACATTTGGAAGGCAAAAAAAAAAGGGATGAATATTTACACACAGCAGGTCAACAACAGTAGCTGTGATAGAGCAGTAAGAGCAGATGATACCTGTCCTTTATTGGCCTTCTCTGCTCCTATACTCCTAGCCTGGATCAGGCCTTCTCTCTTCTCATTTCTGAACAGTTTTACAAGACCATTCCATTGCTTGATGTACTCCTCCAAACGCTCCTTCAGATGGACTACACACGCACAAACACATACACACACACGCACAAGCACGCACACACGGGTCAGAGAACAGCTGCAGACTTAGTTAGTGAAGCACAGTTTAACTTATAAACCACCAACAGATGAAACCCAGAATAAATGTGGCGATAAAATGACAACATAGTTAATTATGAGGGGATTGTATTTTTGTAAAATTTTGCTAAATTGTTTGAGGAATAATCACATTTAATGTAAGATTCAAATTTTTCCAACCATTCACATGTGAGGATATCAACACACCTTTGTTGCTGAAGTCGTCTATCATGACTATCTCAGCCAGGTATTTCCTGGGAGTCCTCTTGATGACACTGTGGATGGTTCTCATCAGTGTAGACCAGCCTTCATTATGGAAGACAATCACCACACTAGAGGTCAGCAGTCTGTCATCATAATGCCAGTATTTACACCTGGGGAGGAGGGACAGATCAGTTACATGAATTCAGAAATGCTACAGGTTCCCATTAGGAATGCTGCTGCTTCCTTATCAATGCAACATTCCTTCAGTTTAGTAGTCTAGTCTACTGTTTACACAGTCATCGCATCAGAAAATCAAGAATTTCTTTCTTATTGCAAGAATTTTTTTTTAACATTTATGCAAATAATCCAGAGATCTTAATGAAAAAATTAGGTATATACAGAAACAGTTTTGGTGCGGATCGGGACAATGATATCTGGGTGATCTTTATTGGGTTATTGTAAGAAATAAAGCTGAGCGAGAACCTTCAAAATATTTGCCCTGTGTGTCTATACATTTCTGTTTTCAAACCATATTTTCAGATTAGTTTTGTGACATTTAGAGATAATATAAGTACTATAATATTCTAATCTGCTTTGTTCCTTTCAATTGTATCAGAGAACAAACATTATGCCTGTCTTTAATGTGAGGGGGTTGCTGAAAATATTTGTGTGCATGGTATATGAATCTGATCTCAATACATGATGCAATATAGTGATAAAGTAGTCAATCAGCCCTGGCGAAGGTATGCACTCTCCTTTTAGTTGACCAATGTGGGAAACATGGTTTGGTAGTATTTTGGTCAAGAATATTAAAATAAGGTAGTATGTAGTCTGTGTCAGAATAAACTGTCATAGTAACCACACCGAGCACAGGCATGCATATGTTCAAGGTGCAGTAAGTAACAGTTATCACTTTCTATTTTTTAGAACTGTTGCAGTGATCTGACAGTAGTGCATGAGGGAGGTAATATTAAAAAAATATTAATATTAAAAATCTTGATCCTCTGGCTCCACCTACTGCTCATAATGCAAATTGGAACGCTCCAGTTTCTAAACTACTAATCAGAGCCTGGAGTCTGGTCAAGTGTCAATCATTGCTCGTGCACAGTACCCCAACCAGCAGCAACTGCCCAAATGCAGTCAGGCTAATGTTAGCTAGTTTCCGACGATAAAGCTACTGGGTAGCATTGTTCTCAGATGCTCTGTCTCCTTTGTTTTGTTTAATGTGTAAATAAAGAAGGCTGCTGACTTTTGGGATTCACTGCCACCGAAGTCTAATTGTTCTCACCACAGTAAGATAACAAACCAAAATTAGTTTGTGCTGTTGCTTCAACCCCGCCCTTTCGCTCCTTCCCAGAAAAACACTGTTAACAATCAATGTGCCGTAGCATGAGTGGACCAGTGGAAAAGCAAAACTGTCTCTCAACTCTCTCAACTGTTGGGTTTTAGTTGGGAGTTGAAAGTAATGGAGAGGATACTATTGCAAACACCAGGAGGCTGCATCAAATGTTCCGTTTGGCTGTTGAAAGTCAGAGATGTAAAGGTGTTCACAGGTCCAAAGCTGTGGACCCAATGTAAAATGGACTTGGAAATGGAATGGAATATCTACCTACTATATACAACATGTGTGAATAATTTCCCAAAAAATGAAACCTAACTCAAACAGACCCAAAGATATTTAGACATGATCCAAAGTGAGATTAATATGAAAAAGAGTAACAGACAGAAACACTGACAGACAGACAAACACACAGACACTCGCAGCAGAGGGAGGATCTAAAATGTTGTCCAAGGGAAGAGTTAAAAGTTAAATGCAAGGCACACAATCTGAAAACACTCTGACAATGACAGAGGGGTGTGTCCTTTTCCAACTGACAAAATCTAATTAACTGGGTTTATTAGCTCAGTAGGATTTCATATGATGAAACATAACAGTGGCAGTCTCTCTCCCACATACGCACATGAACACAAGCGTGCGTGTGCACATGGACACACCCTTAAACACACATCCACTCCTGTACACTGATAATGATTATTTATATAACCCAAATAACCGTATATTACAGTCCAGACTTTCATTTACTTGTGCATTCTTAGCATTACATTTTTTAAACCAACACTGCTGTTTGTCTGTGGACAAAAATCTAAAGTAACAACAATCTAATGAACATCAGAGGTCTTGTTATTGAGGACATGGGTTTTCTGACGTGTTCCTGTCTTCGCTGGGTGTGAGTGTGGTTTCTCTCTTTATTGATGGGTCTTCAATTAATAATACATGCGGGGGGAAAAACCCAGTGGATTATTTGAAGGCTGAGCGTGCATCTTGTGAACTACTGAAGAAACTAAGTGAGACACGGAGGTGAAGTGAAGCCAATCATGGTGCGTCTATGATGTATTATTGTAAAGAACCAGCTCAACCATCCTGACCTGTTGCTGTGCTAAAAGGGTGTGTAAGAGATACTCCTTACTGCCTTCTCCCTGTGTTTGCTTGATAGACAAGTTGATCAACAGATGACTAGATATTAGACAATCAAGGAGATGCATACAAATAGCATGCCTGCGTGTGCATCAATTTCCACAAGTTCCTCTGTTTGTGTTAATACACTTACACCTCTGTAAGTGTATTAACACAGACGTGCTATATTAGGAGAGCCTTTCATAGTAGTGTGGTGTGTAACAGAACCCTGGGGCTATCAGTTAAAACAAACTGTAAAATGTGTAAATAAGGTATGATAAGCAGCACTCACTCTTCATGCCGTATATCGCTGATGGTTCTGTCCAGTGAGATCATATCACTAGCCACCATGTTGAAGCCAAACTCTTTGATGGAAGCCTGGACAGACTCTTTGTACTCTGGACCCAAAACAAATGGCTTAGCTCCCTCTCCAGGACCACCGGAGACCCCTTGAGGCTCTGGTTCCTTTGGCTCAAAGTTTCCCAGAACACCTTTCTTCAGGACAGGGCTGGTGTAGATATGTGAGTGGGGCCTGAATGTCACATACTGCTGCTGGATCACCTGCTTCTGGTTGGGCTGCTGGTCAGGGTTCGGGGGATGATTAGCTTCTCCTAAACACAAAAACCAGTAATAATGGATGACACAATATCACAACACATTCATTTAATATATTTTCTCTTTCTGATGTAAAGGTGAAGCTAGTGTACCATGTTTGGACAGATTTTTTTTTTTTTTTTTTAAAAAGGGGAAATTTCAGAATCATTACAGTGGGTAACACAAGAAGCAGTTTTCACAAGACCACATTCTGACAGAGACAATGTTACATAGGCATGTTTTGAGGTGAGTGAGCAGAGAGCTAAGAAGTGAAATCCTCATTCAGAATGAGAATTAATAAAGGAACGAGAATTGTTAGTTTGTGTTAAAAAAGCATCACAGAGCAGATGACTGATATGGAACAAGATAGTGAAAAAACACTGGACACAAAAACTAATCTGATGAAAACTCCTGATATTTTTTTCATATGGAAATATGTATATCACTATACAGTAGTAAACAAGCCAGGTTATCCATCCAATCTAATGCGTGATGACTACACTGACAACATATCTTACAGTAAGCTGCAAGTTCATTACTTCAGAGTAGAAGGCATAAGATGACAGAGCTATCTGTACCTGGTGCAGACATCTTCACTGAGCAGACAGTATGACCCGAGTTAGTGGAGAACAGCATGAAAGCAAAGAGCGAGCGAGAACTTCAGTCAACTGAGGGGTCTGTGATGAGTCAAACCATCCACTTTCAGGGGACAGCCCAGAAATGTACACATATAAAAGTAGATCATTTTAAAGGGCTGAAAATTATTGCTAGTGACATATAGGTCGTTTCTACAGGACACAGGGTTCGGTCTAAGCCCAGGTGCATTTTGTCTGCTCCTTCTGAACAGACTCAGTGGGGTTTAGGTCACATGATTCTGCTCCAGACAACAATGGTTAAACCAACACAGAAATGAAAATTCACTCATTATCTACTCTAAATGTCCACTGACGTCTTCTGACTAGGTGCATTCAGGGAGCCTCAGAAATGCTAATGGTGTAAATGACCTTGTTTCGAATCAAATATGAATGTCAGGGCTTGGTGACACTTGGATTAAACCACACGAGCAGTATGAAGGTGTGTTGTGTTTTTTCTGTTTTACTACGTCTGAACAAGTGGGCAGTACCTACTTCAATTGTATTGGATTCTGCTGCAACACTGTGTACCCCCGAGACTCCTTAAGTGTTTTGTGGACAAAAACACTTCACCCACCCCTCCATCATAGTGGTGAATACATAAGTGAATTTTCATTTCTGGTTGAATTATCCATCATAGTGGTGAATACATAAGTGAATTTTCATTTCTGGTTGAATTATCCATTTAAGTCTTAAACCGCGCTAAGATAAGGACAAATGGAAGTTAAACAGCCTACCTCGCTAACAATCACTCCAGACTGCTTAATATGAACCAAGGCCCATTTAATGGCAGGTGCACAAGTCTTTTTCTCGAGAGTGTGGGAGCTGAATTATTATTCAATTCAATTCAATTAATTATTATGAGATGTTTAAAAATGAAACTCACCATGTTTGAGTCTGATGGCGTTGAGGTCAACTTCCACCCCCTCCACATGAGGCCAGGGCATCACAGGCTTAAAATGATCTGCTATCTCTCCTTTAGGCGGCAATATTTCCTCCTGCATTAAGGGATGTGACAGAGGCCAGTATGTATTACACATATGGATCTTTAACATTACATCAGAGATTAACAGTAGTTGATTAGTTGGAACAAAGCAATGAATGAAAATAACAAAAGAATATAATTGAATATGGTAATGAGTAAACGTTACATCATGTGAGACAGTGAGTAGGAGAATTTAACACATTTGATTCAGCATGAAACAGCTAAGTGAAGATTATTAACAGTTAATACGATCCTATCAGATGCAATCAGTGACATGAGTGCAGACTACATCAAGCTCTTTGGGTCTTTGAAAATATATATAATGGATAATAATTTGCATGTAAATGATGGTGAAACATGGTTCAGAATATCAAAACAAGTAATTTAAGTACCTGTTGGTCAATAGATACCAACCACGACCACATGTTTGTAAGTTTTGTAAGAAGAAGAAAATTCCATTTCACCACAGCTACATTAGAATTTAGAGAGGGGTCATTTACAAATTCAAAGACTGTCTGAATAAGAGTTATATATTAAGGCCTTCTCCTTAACATTCTTCAGCAAGAGTAAATACAGGACACTTCATTCATGATTTAAGGATAAATAATGTATCATAACTTTTAGAGAGGCTGCAAATATTTAAAGTAAAAGACTGAAAATAGTTTACAATCAAGTGGAAATTATTCCATTTAGCAGATGAATTGGAGTTCATTTTAATATTCACAAAAGTAAATAGAAATAAATAGAAGTAAACTGAAATTTTAGGGATCTCTGTTGAGTTCAAATTGTCACATACTGTAAACCTAAGTTGTCAAAAAATATGATAATTTCTTTATCACATAGTGAATAAAAAGGAAACTATAAGGGCATTTTTTCAAAGAACCAAGATGTCCAAATGCAAAATGGCAAGTATATTGTGCCCTGGGAATGCATTTCACCAATCATAATCACAGAATCTCTTCTCAAACCTTATGAAGATTTAAAGAAGCGAATTTCTTTTTAATATGATTTCATTGTGCAAATTGTGTCTTGGTATTTGGTATTATTGGTTATGACTTCAGTTCCTTGATGTTTGTACATCAAGTTTTCAGTTTAAAAAAAAGTGTGTACAGGAAGTTCCTCGTTTCTCACACGTCACAGGGAAGGAAAGGAAAAGACATCCCCTTAATTATATCACTATTTCTCACTGTATCTGGACTTTTTATTATTATTATTTACAAGAGACAGTTAATCAAGAAAATTATCTGCTGATTAGTCAATCAAGGAAATCCTTAGCTACAGGCCTAATTTAAATGATCTCTTTTCTCTTTAAATATTTATATTTAGTCTTGATGGACACTCGAAGCGCTCCACAGTACAGTTTGCCATTCACCCATTCTCACACACATTCATACAGTGCATCTATCAGCAGCACTTTTTTTCTATCATTTCTATGATCTGAAGAGAGTTGATCTCATTCTAGTTTTATGTAAACATTTGCCCTAGTCGAGTTGGATTATCTCCATCATCGTTACATATCACTTAGCTGACGCTTTTATTTTGAATTTTGATTTGAAATTATCACTGTAAGGCAGAATATAGGAGCTACGGCCAACACCACTTCAGTCCGTTCTCGTTGATCTCCACTGGAATGAACATGACTGAGCTGAACTCCTGCCAACTCTTACCCACAAATTCAGTTCCGCCTCAGGAACCAGTGACACCCACGTGGTGACATATGCGGACATACATCCTGGAGCGAAACTGTGTGCGGATCTGCAGCCTTCACAGTGATCAGTGCGAACAGGAACACGTACTCATAAGACCGCTGGTCCAAACGTGTTTAATCCACAAGTATCAAAGCAGACAGGGGCCAATCTCCATGACAACCAGCGTAGTGGGGCGAGCTGAACGAAAGCGTGTTCTCGTTATTTTAGGAGCGATGACACCTTCCACCATTACCAGTCACCGTCCGCACGCCGCTTCACACGGAATATGTGACATGTACTTTAACACGGCGCGCTCGAGTTGTGCTAACACTGGTAGCACTTGACGCTAAGCGCACTTCCCTCTGTTGATCGCTTGAATTGAACTGGTTTGCTGTTGACTCACCCGTTTTCCAATCGGGGTTTCATCGCTGACTTTCGGCGACAGGGACGACCAGAGCACCACCAAACCGAGAAAGGTCCCAATGTAAAGCAAACTCCGTAAAATGAATCCCACTTTCAGCCTCATGTTGGAATGTCTGCCCGCGGAGCCAGGCTTGCCGACAGCTAAGCTAGGTTAGCCGCTACTGCTTCTAGCTAAGGCTAACCGGGTTGGTACGGTGGCTAGCCAGGTAAAGGCAGCTAACGAGTAGCTGCTGATGTTGGCACTTGCTGGTAGATGTGCGGCTTCACGCCGGAGTGTCGCGTTCCTGCAGGCTTAAGGGAGGCGCTCCCGTGGTGTCCCCGTGTTGACAGTGCTCCTGCCCCGCTAACCTTCCTGCTGACACGGCTCCGGTGGAGCTGCCCCCTGCTCTGACGCGCTGCCCCAGCCCGCACAGACACTCCTGAGGCCGGGTTAAATAGCTCTGCTGTGGCCGCTGTGCCTCCACGGTCTGTCAGTATGTTGCTTCACATTTAAACTTCAGTCCCTGAGCTTCTGACAGCGCGTCGAGGAGAAAAGAGCAGGTTTTACTGGAGGCATAGAGAAGATGTCTGTCTGGTTCCTCTGTCCACACCTGGCAGACAGGATGAGCTTATTCCTGTGGGCTGTGGCATTGTTGTCATGTTTTATTGTCGTCACGGAACATGACACAATGAGCCACACACAAAAGAAAGAAGGAAACTTGTCCGTTGATGAGGTTTTGTCCTTATTGTCTATACATTTACAACATTGAGAAGAAGGAAGGCGGAAATGAAAAGTGTGAAGTGATCCAGGGATCTAACCTGATAAAAGTGTCAACAGGCAGTGGTGTTGCTTTTAATTTAAAGTATTAGAACAAATGAATGATTGCTGTCTATATTATATCTGAGTGAAAGGAAGTGACCTGTTTATGAACTACCTGTTACTCCAGGCCACTTTTTTCATCCAATCATCCAAATGGAAGAAAATGAAACCTCTCTTATCTTCACATGGGACCTGATGGACAATCATCTCACTACCTTAAAACTAATGGATGGGAAACATGCAAAGTCTCTTCTCAAACCTCATGAAGATTTAAAGACGAGAACAGACTTAACGCTATGATTTTGTAATTACATTTGTATTTTCTTATATTTGTATTCATTGCATTTGTGCATATCGTGTCTTGATGTGTGGTATTATTAGTGATGACTTGAGTTCCTTGATGTTTGCACATCAAGTTTTCAATTTAAAAAAAGGTGTGTACAGGAAGTACACGTGTACAGGAAGTCCTCGTTTCTCACACGTCACAGCATCACCTCTCGCACGTCATTTAACCTGTCAACATTCCTTAGGTCTCTTCAGGTCAGAGGAAGGCAGCAGCAGGGGCGGATATTTCATCTCATTGTTGATGGGGGGGGCATTCTCTGATAGGGGCAGTGTTCCTTATTAAGTCTGGCAACATACTGAGGCACAACAGTAGGGAAGCAACACCCATAAAGGGAAATAAAGCTAAAAATATTGATTCATTTTAGTTTCATCGAAGGAGCAGATCTCTAATATTTTGCTGTCAATGTGTAAAAGTCCAGGACATTATGAAGCAGAACATAACATTTTGTGATGAATTAAGTCTTCATGTATTTCCCATAGACTGTATATAAGGTATTTCCTGATTTATTCAAGAAATTACACCATGTGTAAAAGCATCGAGCATCAACACTCCCAGCTGTCACCTATTGTTAGTGCACAGCAGCTGACAAGGAGGAGCTGTGTTGTATTGCTTCACTTTGGGACTTATTGAAGTGTGTGTCACTTAAAACATAAATTAAAATCATTAATGCCTTAGAACCTTTAAAAGGCAGTGAGTTAATGTGTGTAGAAGGTTCTGCGTCATGTTTTATGAGAAAAAGCGCCTTGACTGTGAGTTAATATTATGTTTGTTGTGTGTTTACTCCATTGCTGATTGATATGTGCATATTTTACAAGTTGTGCAGTTGTATTTGTGCTTCAGAAGATGCAACTGCACGTACCAAGGCGATCCAGGTTTGATTCAACATTCAACTGTGAATTAAAACAAAAAAGAGCACTCTCCACTATTTAAATGTGTTATATTCTGTCGAGAGGTCAAATTAAAGCAACATGTCAAACTCATTCTTTGTTTTGGATGGGCTGTGAAAGAGTGGGGGGTTCAAAAAACGCTTTATGTTGCATCTATAATTAGTACTTTCAATTCTTCAAATTCAAATTTAGTGGAATGAAAACGCCCAAATCCTTAACTGCTTCCTGACAAACTTGGTTGATCGTCTTTGGTCCGTTACGTGGGACCCAGTTGTTGGCTCGCAGTTCCATTGTGAGGAAAAAAAAGTCAGTTCATTATAGCTTTCAAAACTTGCTTATATATGTGTCTATTTTTAATTATCACACATTGCTTGCTCATATTAAATATATCACATAGTACACACTGGCAATGATGGTCCATGTACTGAAGAACAGAGTTGAGGTACTTGTACCAATTTATCAAACTTGTAATCTATCACATTTCAGAGAGAAAGTGTCCTTTTTACTGCACTACCTTTATCTAACACCTTACATTACCATTCATGAATTGAACAGTTTTTAAAATAGAATACTTTATTATAGATTACACAACAATACTGTATATACATGTACACCTGAGATGATTAGGTGATTGATCAATCGTTCAATTGGCAGAAAATGTATCAGCAAATGTTTTGATAATTGTCAAATGCCAAATATTTCAGACTTCCAGATTCAGAAATTTGAGGAAATTCAGCTTTTCTTTAAAAAAACAAACCAAAAACCAAAACATATATATATTCCATTAGCAATTATGTTTTAATTATTTTTCAATTTGGACAAAACAAACCATTGTGGAGGTGTCACTTTGGGAATTTTCACTAATGACATTTTTAAACACCAAACAATGAATGAACCAATACAGTAAGTGCTGCTTACACATTCATGTAGGGGCAGTGGTAATCAAATGAAGCAATATACTACAGATGCAAACCAGTCACATCGGTCTTTCTTCTGCACAGTGTATTTTTTAATACTTTCAGTACTTTTTCCTGATTATACTATCATACATTTTCTTACATTTGACTTGCATGTAAAGGAATACACTTTATACACTAAATAAAATACCTGGATACTTCCTCCACCAATGATGAAAACCTTGATATGAATTACTATTTGACAATGTTGACACAGGACACAAACAGCTTTATGACAGACTGAGATACATTCAGCTAGTGGCGTGTGCTGGTTTAGCAAACTAATAGTGTCATTCTCCTCGATGTTCACAGCAGTGAGCTTGCTGAACAGACCAGTGAGGTCGTGTCAAGGATAATTTACTGGTATTTACATGAAATTACAGATAATTGAAGGCCAGCACTTATCAATGGAAAAAAAATTCCAGCATGCACAAAATGACATTTTCTGTTTAGCCAATATAAAGAGCCAAACATCTGGAACAGATGTCAGACTATCATCTGACTGGGAATTATGAAGTCAAACTGAATGAACATAAAAATAGAGAGACTGTGGTAGTTATGGCAACACAGAGGCAATGTAAGGTGTATCAGAGTACAATGTGCACTACATCAAAACTTCACTGTGTTTTAATGTGTGATGATAGTAATGATGTTGCAGGAGCCGACTCATGGTTAACTTCCTGCAGATGATATGTTGACATGTAATGTGAGCGTGGCACACACAAATTTAAAATCTTAAAAAGAAGTAGCTGTGTTGTGTGTGTGTGTGTGTGTGCTCTCTATGTGTGCTCCAGATAGTGGGTGAGCAGGGGGGGCAGAGGAAGGCAGGAGAGATGCTTCAGTCTGGATCGACCAATCAGATTCCTGATCTGGATACGACACACCTGGCAGAGGCTCCTGGGAGAAACTGGAGAGAGACAGAGTCCTGAATTTCAACTTTTGTAGGCATCAGTATTGAGAATCACCTCAGTCGATGTCGTTGTGGTACCTTCAAATGCTTGTAGCAGCTGCTGTGTTTTTCCACCCTGAGGCGCTAACTCCAGAGCTCGCTGATTGTTGCTGTCTCTGAGGTTGACATCAGCTCCATAGTCGAGCAACAGTGACACCTGATCAGCATCGTCCTGTCTGACAGCTGCATGAAGAGGACCGTCTCCTCCTCTGCCTACATTAACATTGGCTCCTGTAGAGGACAAGAGGAGAGGAGAAGATATAGACAGAGCTTAACCGGAGCTTAAGTGGAACAGAGTGGGACTGGATCCTTCTTTGTGAAACACTGCATCTTCACAGAGAGGCTCCAGTGGTCATGATTGCCACAGAGGTCCACGGGGGGGTGTCACCCTAGCCACGTGGACGACTCTTCATCGATGAGACAGAGACCGAATGTCCTGTCTCTGTTGCAGAATCTTATACTATTTAATTTTTTTATATAAATAATTATGAGATGTGCCCTTTTTCTCTCAATCCCCTGCCCCCCCAAATGTCTGTGCACGTCCCTGCTGTCCACAGCACAGGAGCGAACACAGACTGAAATGGCAGAAAGCTGCAGTAAATGATACCCACCTCTGTGCAGGAGAATCTTGGAGCAAGCTGTGTGTTGGTGCAGACAGCTCATGTAGAGAGGAGAGCCCAGATGGGACACCTCATAGTCTGGATCTGCCCCATGAGTCAGCAGGGACTCGACACACTGGCTGCGACCTGTAAACACACCCACCCAGACACACACAGGCAATAATAAAACATTCACAAACACTCAGGGATTAAGTAATGTATTTGAATTGACATTTAAAGATTACACTGCTCCCTGCTGGACATTCTATTGAGCATTATCACAACCTGAATTATAAATGTTGTTGCAGCCATTAGCTGATCTCTTTCAAGTTGAAAATGCTACTACAAGGAAAGAACATGAGTCATGGTATTCAGCCAAATTCAACCAAAATCTGGTGATGGGATATTGTGTGTTTGCTGGGTAAAAAACTGTTCAGTCACATTCTGCATATGAAGTTCCTGTTCCCGTGTATTTACCTCTCTTGCAGGCTTCGTGCAGAGCTGACGGGAAGTGTGTGTGTGGCATGTGTGTGTGTGCTCCGTTCTGCAGCAGTAGTTCCATACAGCCGACATTCCCAGAAACACAACAGTTGTAAAGAGGAGTGACGCCGTCGATGGTAGCAGCATTTACCTGGAGACATGCATGAGCAATGCTAAGTCACTGTCACACACCCACAAACACACACACACACATAGAATACTAGTGGTGGTGAAAAGAAGAATACTTACATTAGCTCCAGCATTTATTAATGCTCTGACACAGGCCAAGTGTCCAGATAGGCAGGCTTCATGGAGAGGGGTCACATGATCAATAGTGACAATGTTGGCGTGATATCCCTAAAACACAAAGTATTATGACCATATGTCTGTTTGACTTCTTTCAGTTATTCTTTCTGATTTGAATTAATTGTGAGTATACAGAGTATTAGCACATTTCTCACATCTACAAATTCTTATAATAAACTGAACCTCCATGATCGCAGCCAAAGACGAAGTATAACAGTATAGATCCCAAACATTAGCAGTATGGGATTAGTGAGCCACTCTTCCCCTTTTACAAATTCATCTGATTGCCAAACCACATTTGTCCAATTTGACACCAGGCTCCAAAATGAAACTTTGCAAACAACAAGCAACAAAAGCAAATCTTTCCATCAAAATACCAAATGTGAAATGAACTTCTTTTAATCAATCAGCAAAAAAACAACAAGACTAAAACCCAGCTATCAATATGAGCCAGTTCAGCCTTTTTTTATGGACGTGTCGTTTGTTATATCATAATGAAACTAGGTCAGTGTCCTTTGTAAACCTGTCTGTTTGAAATTAATTCTTCTCTTGGCCTGTGTTGATGCACCGGCCAAATTGTAAGTAAATGATGGTCCTGATACTTTTGGAAACAACAGGACCTGCTTTTTAATTGGTTGTTGCAGATTTTCCACAGGACGCAGCTCTCTGCACCCTGGACAATCCCACTTTTAATTAAGGCCAATAGGTAATGATTTACAATTTTTAAATCTGATGTGATTTATCGACCCTCAATGCTGTTTCAGGTACATGTGGCATCACTAAGTTACTTCCACTGTGAGCTGACTGGCAAAGATATGGTGACTTCACGTGGAACTGCAGCAAATCCAGTGATTTCTTTACAAAAACACCCCAACAAGAAAAAAAGAGGATAAAGGAGCTGTGTCCGGACCGACCTGATTTACAGATTCAGCAGCAAGTGAAAAGGACGAGCTTACGCCTTCTCCAGCTCTTGTTATGAGAAACAGAGTCTAACTGGATGTGATGTAATGCATTTTACTGCTTCATCTGTTTGCTGTTTCAAAATGTCACAGAGTAACTGCGGACAACGACCGGGGATCAAGACTTAAACATCTCTCTGAAAAATGCCATGAAAGTTTCCACAGTCACTTAGACACAACGAGGCTCTATTTTTGTAGCAGGTTTAGCATTGCTCAGCAGGTTGATGAAGGCCACAGGTTTGGGATCTTGTGTGTTGTTTTTGTTGAGTCTGGCTTCAGTTTGTTTCAAATTTTATTGCGCTGTATCCGATTCCATGTCATTCTGTTTCCAAAGCCGAACACAGTAAATATTGTTTCTAACTTCTGGACAGAAACATAATAACATACCCAGTTGTGGGGTATGTTAAGGGGGTTGTGTGTGTGTGTGTGTCACCTGGGCCAGCAGAGTGCGCAGAGCAAGCAGTCGACCCTGAGAAGCTGCTTCATGGAGAGGGGAGCGATCTGCCCAGGATCCTGGACAAACAGAAACACAGAGACAAGAGATAGGGACATTTTTCATTGAAGGGAAATATTGAGCTTCATTCATAATACTGGTTCATCAGTGTTCACCTGCACTTGACTCCCAGTGGTAGTATCTCAACAGATATAGAGAGCAAAGTATGCAGGTGGCTAACTCTCGTTTGACTATAAATTCATGTAGTCAGAATCATTATGAAGACACAACAGTCATATTAAGACTCTATAGGGACGTTTAAGTTTAGTTTTGGTGCATTTAACTGCCTTTCTCATGCAATTGATGAACAACAGCAAAATCATATTTACATTACTTAAAAAAAACATTGCTGCAGCTACTGCTACCAATGAGGTAGGACAGCATCCCCGACTTAAACAGGCTTGATAGGGCTATTACATCAATTATTTGACTAATGGTCAGTTAGTGTAGAATGTGCCAGACAGTGTGGTCTGGTGACAGCAACACACAGACTGGATTCATTTTCACCAGGATTTTCAGATTTTTATTTTGTGATGATGAAATCCTGTGCATTGTACATAGAGTAGCTTTGAATAGGAATACCTCAATTAATTTCATTTTAAATGAAGGAGAAACATGTGTTAACAGAATATGTAGCATTGCTCTCTGTAGTTATATTTAGAGCTGCTTCTCAACAGCTGTGGCACCAGTGACTCCACCCAGAATACACACACAGTGCAACATACCCATATCTCCGTCTCCCCATGGCACATCCAGCCACTGGTACGTGTACGACATCTTGCATGAAACAGAAGTGAAAGGACCTCCACAAATTTCCTTGTCCTTATGTAGAGTCTGTCAGAGTGTAGATCACCTTTCAGCACACACACAACACTGCAAGTCCTAAAAATAACTTCTAACTAGCAGTGTTCATTTTGACAGTCAATTTGGATTTAGTTTCAGTCAGAACCTTTTGACTGAAATGTCATTTTCACTCATTTCCCTCATGTTTCAGCCATCTGAATTATTTTGCTTTAGTTGACTGAATATCAAAATGTTTTAGTCGACTGCCTACAGTAGATTAAGTCAATTAAAATCTTGAGTCTGTGATTTTAATGTGTAATGCATTAAATAATCATCTTAATAGAAGTGAAGGGGCTGCATGGCTCAGGACGTAGAGCGGTGAGAAGAGGTATCAATCCCTCCTCCACTGCTGAGTCATCAGTTTGTGAAAAGCTGAATGAGACATTCATTGTGAAGCACTTAGTGTGAGTGACTAAGTAAATACATTGAATTTAGAATTTAAAAACTCATTACATACTGAAGAAACATCTAGTAAGAAGGTTTGAACATGTGGTACAGATATGGATTGAAGTGTGATGATATGAAACATGCTCTTTGTTCTTAAAGCTACAGTGTGTAGAATTTAGTGATATCTAGTGTTTAAATCACATGTTGCAGCTGAACACCCCTCACCTCACCCTCTCCTTCCAAACATGAAAAAGAAACTGTGGTAGCTTCAGTCAAAAGGTGTTTAGTTTGTTCAGTCTGGACTAATGTAAAAAACATGGTGGCCTCCGTAGAGAGGACCCCCTCGTTGTAAATATAAAGTATTTAAATATAAAGGACCTTTTCTGGGGTAAAGAAAACTACAATTCATACAATTTAGATGAAATGAACTAGTGAAAACATCATGAGGATTATTCTACATTAGATTTCTGCCAATAGTTCCCTTTCACCTTAATTACACACTGGAGAATGTGTAGACAGACAGAAACCAGAATATGGACTTTTCACAAAAGACCAACGATGAGATACTATTTTATTTAATGCTAATTGTATTTGACATTTTTCATTGTTTCAGGCAAAAGTGCAACTCACAAACATTCAACAGAAAAACTGTATTCTCAAATACATGCAAAGAGAAAGTATTAATCCCATCAATAATCCCATTAATAATCCCATCAATGATTGAAATCTACATCAAGAATAAATTCCGTGTCTCTAAATATTGAAGTGTTTCAATAACAGGGAATGTCTCTATTCTATTTCTACATTTTCAACATTAACGTGACGTGGAGGATTTTATTATGATCTTCAAAAGGCAGCAGAAGGTCAATGATCTAAGAATCGCTGCTACAGCCTTTCCAAGCTCATCTCATCTCACCAATCTGAGCAGTGGTGGGGGAGGAAGGTGGTGGGGGAGGAAGGTGGTGAGCAGCACAATGGTTGTGGCTGCTCACCAGAATTGATGTCACCTGATTTGGCATTGGTTGTGTCTGAAAATATTATAATGGAACACGTTTTTAAAGGAACAGATTACTGCAACATGGATACTGCAATACAATGCACTCCTCTGCCCCTTCTCACCCCCACATCACTTCTCTGATGTTCATGAATAATTTGAGCATGTGAGCTGGAGGCCGTCACAGCCGTGATGGAGAGAAACACCAGCAGAAACGTACAGCACATAGACTGATGGAATGGTTTGGTATTGGAAAAAGGTAACACAGGATCCTGTCATTGTGATCATATATTTTAATCAAACCAAATCCTACTGTATTGTAGTTTTCATATTGAGGGGTTAGTACGGACTGTGATAGTACTGTGGTAGCATTCTGTTTTATAATAGCAGTCTTAAGCCAGCTACACTTTGATTCAAAATAGCTCAAATCAAATAATAATAATCACTATAGGGAGTATTTTAACTTTTCCTTCTCCGTCACTCTACTGGTCAACACATGAAGATCTGTGAAGACCTCCAACTTCACCTCACAGATTATTGTTTATTGGTAATCCACCAATAAGTGATGTGTTTATTAATAAGAACACTGCAAGAAATGTTCACCTGTTCTCCAGAGACAGTCATAACAAAACCTGTCCAGCTATACGTTTGTGTTTGTGGGATCACTGCTGAGTTTCAATCAATCGACCAATAAATATTTAATTAAATAGCCCATCACCAATCCAAATTTGTCTCATAGGGCTAAACAAGGTGTGACATGCTCTGCCCTTAACCCTCAGCAAGGGTAAAAACCCTATGACGGAAACAAAACGTAGAAACCTCAGAGAGAGTCACATGTGAGGGATCCCTATAGCTCTCGGGTGCAGTAGATACAGCGTGTAACAGAGCACGTTAACAAAATAACAATGTTTACAACATTCATGTGAAAAGACAGAGTCTAACATAAATGGAGAGATGTATGTTTAAAGTATTTATACACAGAAAAAGTCTGGCAGAGATGAAGGGAAAGCAATGGAAATTGTAATGATAGAGGTGTTATGTAATAATCGTAGTATATGTGAGTAGGCAGATTGTCTACCTCCTTTTGCACCTCTTTTTGCACTATTTTGTATAGTTTTTAACGTTTTTTTTCATGTAAACATGTTTATTTATATTGTTATATATTTTTTTTTTTTTTACTAAATGCACCTTTCAGTGGTAGCTGCTGTAATTTCGCAATGCGTCATAGTGTGATGACATTAAGGGCATTCTTTTCTATTATCTCAGCATCTATTTGTAATCATAAATCATGATTAGCTGGCACCACGATCGAGATCCACCATCATGATCCTCCTTCAGTTCGACATGAGGGAGGAACTGCCTCCACAAGCCATATATGGCTCTACCACATGTGAGGACATCATCATTTTCATCATCATCATCATCATCATCATCATCATCATCATCAGGACCATCTGACATCAGACGCCCAAAGAGATGCAGTTCATCACATTAGAGGGGTTAGTATGATGTATTTCAACAGCGCCTCTCAGAATGGAATCACAAAGAGTATTAGATGAATAAATATACGCTATTAAAATATATATTAAAACCAGCAAAGGTTGGAATCACAAACAGTATAGTTTAAATGCCAATAACAAACAAATGGGTTGCACAACAAGCCCGAAATATGCATTCAGCACTTTATGTGACACCACCATTTTCAAAACTCCAATGTTAAAAAGAGAAAGCAATGTAGGCTGTCTCATGAGTGGATTTTTTTTTGTTTTTGAGTTGATATCTTGAGATTATTTCTAATTTTCAAGTTTGCTGTGAAGCTGGTCAGAATCAGGCTGAGCTGCAATGATGTGGAGGACAACTGGTGTGAGGCCTCAGTGACTCTGTCACTTCACCACACTGTTATTTTCAACACAGATCTGTAGTTCTCTGCAGCATTAGCCTGAGATTTGAACCACCACAGCTCAGCAGTGCACCGACCTTGGCTGGTCAGGATGCCCCAGCAGGCTTTCTTCCTCTCCGGACTATGTTCGGGCAGCGGTCCAGACTCGGCGGCTCTTTTCCGGGACACCTCCGGAGCTCCGGACGGGACCTCGGGCATGTCGGTCCTCACGCGCTCAGAGCTCATCGTCCACTGACTGCAGCAGCCGAGCGCGAGACCGCCTGAGCACAGGGGAGCGACGTGATTGGCTGGACGGGTTTGTTGTTGTGCTTAACGCACATGACCGCCTCACATGCGCGCCCACGTGTCGACGGCTGAGGATATTTTTGTCCTCATAGTGTAAAATAGAAATGTGTAA